GTTATTTCCTTTACTGTACAAAACTTTTAAATTTTATATGATCCCATTTGATTCTATATAATTTCTTGTGCAACTGGTGTTCTATTCAGAAAGCCCATCCCTAAAACAGTGTTTTCAAGAGTTTTACACTTCTTCTAGCACACTGTTTTGATATGTAGATCTCTGATTCATTTTTAGTTTAGTATATGGTGAGAAACATGGCCCTAGACTCAGCAGTCTCCTGCACCTGGACAGCCGGTTTTCCCAGCACCGTTTGCTGAAGACGCTGACATTCCTCTGCTCTGAGTTTTTCAGCCGTTGCCAAAGATGACGGCTGCATGTGCCCAGGTCGTTCCTGCTTCCTCTGTTCTGCTCCACTGAGCCACGCGTGCCTGTCTGGTGCAGGGCCACGCTGCTTTGCCACAGTAGCTCTCTAACGTAGCTCTGAATGTGGGACTGTGGGGCCTCCTCCTTTGCTCTTGTTGCCCACTGTTGTTTTTGCTATTCTGGTTCCACATGAATTTTAGGAATTTTAAATTTTTTGATTCCGGGGACTGCATGCTTGCAAGGCAGGCGCTTATGCCACTGAGCTAACCCTGGCCCAAATTTTAGGATTCTGTTCTCTAGTTCTATGAGGAATGCTTTTACTGTTCTAGAATTTAGCTAAATCTCAATATCAGATTAAGCTGGTTCTAAAAGCAAAGCAAACAAAAAACAAAGTCCAAAACTAAAAGGACTAAAAAGTTTAAGGCCAACCTGGACTCTGCCTCAAAAACTAAATAAATTCAGGGGGAGGTTGCCCCCACAATATGTTACAGAATGATCTTTTGAAAGTTATGCTGCACAGGACAATGTCTATGAAACTGTGGCAAATTTAACAGTATTTATCTTTAATGTCAAGAAATGCCTTTGTCTCACTGCTTTATCTCTTTTCATAATAAACCTATTTGCACTTTTTTTTGAAATTTAAATGGGAATTTCCTCCCCGTGCCCATTAGCCAAGTCGCTTCAAACTCTTCAACATTCCCACCGACATGTTTTCTTTAACAAAAACAAACATCAAAAATAAGAAACCTGTGGAAGACAAAAACGAAACACCTACACATTCAAGGTTGTTTCTCTGACAGAGGTGACACCTCCTCCCGCAAGTCCTGCCTGTGCTTGACAGCTCTACCTCAGCGCCCCGGGAGACGAGGGAAAGCCGGAGACTCAGGCCTCTTTTGCCCTGAGTTCATCCACTAAACTCCCAGTTCTCTTTTTAATTATCTTTGAACTTTTTTTTATTAATTTCATTACTTTAATCATTTAATAATTCAAGATAAGTTTAACACCAACACTTGTACCTCTAATAATATGGGTGCTATGAACCTTTCATTTTTCTCAGCCACAAGGTGGCAGAAATTTCCATGGTAAAGCCTGACTTAGAGCCACAGCCATATCTGAGAAGTCCTCTGTAAAGTGGACATCATTGAGGTTTAAGTAACAAAAAGAGTCAGTTGCAAACACTTCAGTGTGGTCCTTAGCTCCTCAGGGTCAGAGGCCAGTGGCGCATACTGGAGAGCAGGGACTCCCAGCAGCAATGGCACATCTCACAAAAACGCCAAGCGCTGCTAACTTGTGCACTCCCCACACCCAGGCATTGCGCTCCAAGTTCAGAGGCATTATCCCCGCTCCTCTCAGCAGCCTCACCCATTTGAGAAAGGGAGTTGAACGAAAGCACATTTCATTGGGGGGGGGACGACTTAATTTTCATTACAGTCTCACAAAATTGAGTTTTTCTGTTCTTTAGACCTACTAACTTTCTTTAAATATTCAATTCTAATTCTCTTTGATCTTTGAAAGTCTTGGGAGCCACAATCTTATAGGGCAACTTAACTTGGACAGGAACTGCGTTCATCAAATAGAGCACTTTCCTTTCACCACTGAGAGGCCTGACTTGAGGCTAAAACTGCCTTTACTCATTGGCGATTTGCATGCAATCATTAGTGCTTAATAAATCTAACTGATGTATATTAGAACAAAAACTAATGAAATGCCTAATTTATTAGGGTATTAGGATTTACATTACCTAAATCACAATTCCTAACAACCCTCCTTGGAATCAGCAAGACTCTACCAACCTCTATCATTATACATAATTTTTAGAACAATAACATCATTGCATTCATGTTAGGATTACATTCAACAAGGATTCTGCCTTGACCAACAAGTCTGCACTTCCTGTTGTGCAATTCTGCTTGCTCTGAAATTTATTATAGAGGGGGACTGTCAACTACTTGTCTCTCTCTACTGAAGTTCTTTTTATGCCTCTCAAAGCGGTACAGGTTGTGTCTCCAACAAATGTTCTTGCTTTTAACTGTTTAAATTGATATTTTCCCCCCTTAACCTTGCTAGCTCAGTGCTAGCTAGCCTTGCTAGTTAAGTTTGCATATAAGTCAACTAGGATAAATCTTTGACAATCTTCAAATACTCCGAGTTTGTCCTATCGTCTCAATTTTCTATGAACAAGGATTTGCTTTACTAAGTGTTCAGTAAGGCTTTTGAAAGAGTAAAAAGGCAGAGAACTTCCGTTTTTCTACTGCCTCCTCCTTCTTTGAAATCTTATATGATACAGATGAAGAACGAAATTTATAAAATATCAGCTTAATACTGATATGACAATTTGGTACCATTCAAAACGTCACATAAACCTGCTGAATGTTAACAGACTGGGCACAATGGTACATTCCTGTAATTTAGCTATGTAGGAGGCCTGAGGATCACAAAAAGTTTGAGGCCAGACTGGGCAATTCAGTGAAAGTCTGTCTCAAAAAAATACAAAAAGGGCCAGGGATTTGGCTCAGTGGTGTAAGTACCAGCCTGGCAAGCATGAGGACATGAGTTCGATCCCTGGTACAAATAAATAAATAAATAAATAAAAACAAGAATACATAACAAATACAAACAGAAGCAAAAAAGTTTTAAAACTCAGTAAAAGCTTAACAGTGAGATATCACTTTTCTCCTACTAGACTAGCAATGTTTGATAAAATCTTGTATTGGGGAAAGTATGGAGAAGCAATCTCACAATGCCAATGACAATTTAAACTAGTTCAAATCTATAAAGCATAATACAATTAAAAATGTAACTCTACCTCTAGGAATTTACCCTACAGATACACTCACACACATGCAAAGTGACACACATCAGAAGAGTTCTATACAGCACTGTTCATAAACACCCAAATCTGGTATAACTAATTCATCCCATATCCAAACAATCACATTCTATGGAACTACCAAAAAAAAAATTGTGTACAAAACACTCATATGCTACAGTATCATTTATATAAGGAAGAAAAAATGAACGTGTATTTATCGTTCATATGATTATTTCAAAGAGGGTGAAGCAGCTGGAAAACAATACTAGGAGGAAAATGGGTTCTACATAGATCTTTAAGTCATTTAAATTATAAGCCATGAGTATCACTGTTATGGTCTAGATCTAAGTCTGTCTGGAAGGTGACTGGATTATGGGGGACAGTATGGCTGACTTGTAGCTGGGAGATGCAGTGTGGTCAGAAGCAGCAGACCACTGCAGATGTGACCTGGAAGGGGTGTCTCCTCCCTTCCTGGCTCCTGCCTTGATCTCTCTGCATCTTGTCCACCATGCTGTCAGCAGCTCTTCTCTACCATCCTGTCCTACCTTAGAGCCAGTCAACTACCAAATGAAACATGAACCAAAACCAACTCTCCTCCCTTGTAGTGTCAGGTAATATGTCTCAGCACCAGTGCGATGGTCAATTACCAACTTTAAAATGACGTTCCATTTGTGTAATACAAACTTCCATCTCCCTCCCAGGCCTCTCTTTCCTGTCCTAGTCCCTCCATGAGTGGGTACTTGGTTTGGTAATCTAGCTGAAACTTCTTTACTTTTCCTCTTTAGGAGTCAGGTTCAGCTAATGTGGCCCTTCCTTTCATTCTTCTTTCAGAAAGGACAGGCGGGTTTCTGGCTGCACATATCTGGAGGTGGTGAAGACTTCCCCGGCCAGAGGACACTGTTGTGCTGGCAAGTAGCTGGCAGCTATTTCCCCACATTCATGTCTCAGAGGAGCTATCAAGGCCTGGGGGACCCTCATTTTCTTTTTCTAACACTCGGTCAGTTCCTTAAGTCATTCAAAACCTGCAGAATTGTCTTTTTCTAGGGGAGGCAGATCTGTGAAGATCTGTTAATTCCATTGAATATACTTTTTCCATAGATCTAAAAGGAAGTTATATTGGTCCAACGTCTGTCTACTTTTTTTTTTTTTGTCTTTTTCCTTTTAATCGGTACCGGGAACCGAACTCACGACTGTCTGCTTGCAAGGCAGGTGCTTATGCCGCTGAGCTAAACCCCCAGCCCCACGTCTGTCTACTTCTAAATGATAAATACTAATCATTAGAGAATGAAAGGAGTCAGAAGACCATGTTGGACTATTGTTGGTTTAACACAGGATGAACTCACCAGCATTAAATAAAATTGCAACAATATATCATACTGGTAACAAAAAGTCATAATTCTGAAACAATGCCCAGGCCTGAGTCATTTCGCACATATAGTTCAGCTTCGTATTACATCACTCTAAAATGGTATGAAGAGATACACTGAAAACGTAATACAGCTTTAACTAATGTATATTCTTTAATGGGGTGAGGGTGCTGGGCATATAATCTAGGGCCTCATGAATGCCAGGCAAGGGCTTTACTAGTGACTATACCCCCAGCCCCATATTTAATTTCATTCCTTTACTTTTTTTTTGAGTCAGAGCCTCACTATATAGTTTGGGCTAGCAAAGGTTACAGGCATGCACCACTATGCCTGGCCCAATGCATATTCTTAACAGACATTCAAGCTTAAAAAGAAATAACTGCAGTGTCCAAACTTATAAAATAAAGTTGTTTTTGCTATCTACCGGCCTTTCTACAATTTAGAAATCCACAAAACATAAATTCCTGTAATTACCTTAGTTATTATATACAGATAGAAAGTTTCAAATTGCTTACTGTCTAGCTTGGTCCTTACTGGAGTAGGTGACATTTACAACGGCAGTTTCCGAGTCAGTGTTCACTAAAGGAAGAGAAAAACAAAAACAGTAGTTAGTTTTCTTTCTATTTCCTTCTTTTTACAAATTTGAAAGCAATTCAGAAGACATGTACCTTGCTCACAGGTCTCCACCACTCCATACTGGACTAGTAAACTATCCAGCACCTAGCAGGAGGGGGAGAGAAAATTATAAATTTTGAGTTTCCCACGTTATTAGCCAGGGCAGGAATGTTTTCAAATCACTAATTGTAATGGAAAAGAGAGAAAAGAAAGGAAAAACAAAACAAAACAAAACAAAAACACTGGGACTTTGGACTCAACACAAGGCAGCAGAAAGAGCAGACCAGCTGGACTTCCCTCTCCTGACTTCTCTGGCTAAGAAGTAACTGTGTTCACAGTCACAGCCGGCTGACTCCTGAGGCTGGCGGACACAAAGTGTGTATCTCTCTCTCTCTCTCTCTCACACACACACACACACACACACACACACACACACAGCCCCACTTCCGCCTGACACACAGAGTCATGAGACAAGGGGCGCGCTCAGCGGCTGGTTTCATCTGTAAGATGCTCCTTTCCAAACAACTTCCCAATGCAGCTCAACTAAGTGAACGGCAATGAACTGCCTCAAGGCAGACTAGCAAAATGATGGAAGTCCGCTGGACACTACTGGAAACTTGAATTTAAGATTAAAGTAGTAATAAGCATGTGGATAATACAAGGTACAAAAAAAGTAAACACTTGAAAATCTACAGAAAATGTCAATCTGAAGAGGTTTTCACCATCTTTCCTGTAGCTGTATTATCACTCTGTATTATTCTAAAGGAAAAACTATTAAAACATTAACTATACATTTATTTATAATATCAACTGAAGGTGTGTCTTATCAATATAAACCAAATTCAGCTGCCCTTCTTCTGTACAATTTTCTTGAAAAGTTTTCTATAAATTTGTAACAAATCACTTAACTCAGTTTACTTTCAAAATTTGAAAGTCAGCCCTCTGAAAATGTTTCCTGGTTCTAGAACACACTAAACTCTTAAGAAGCCTGACAATTTCCTATTAAACCTTAAGAAACTTCTTCTAAATGATCCTTTATCTTATACGTTATGTTTTATGCTTTTATCTACTGATTCCTGTTTGAAACCTTTAACAAGGTTCATCTAGGAACATGCTTTTTTTCCCTTTTAAGTAAGAATACTTACTTGTAAATGGAATACTCTTTCATAGTTATGTTTTGACTTAGTGACTTTCCCTTGAGTGGGCTATACCAATAAAAACACATTAATCTGATTGTATTTATAGCCATCATTAAATCATAAAGCTTAAGTTTTATATTTTTCTTCTGAGCATTTAATGATACTGCATGAAAATTTCATTCATCTGTTTAAGCCACTGTTATGTACTATCTATGAGAAAAGCAATTTTTTGCTCACTTTTCTATCTTCACTACTTACACCAAAAAAAAAAAAAAAAAAAAGATATTCAAGTGTTTTACAGTATTTGAAAAGAGGAAGGGAACCCAGGAATAGCTCATCAGGAAAAGTACTCTCACCCTCTCTTCAGAGGTCAACTTGCGATACACAGAGTCTTAATCATGGACACATTTTTATGTCGAGGCCAAAAAATTAAAAAAAAAAAAAAAAAACCTCGGTGGCCATGCTGGTGCACACATGTAATCCCAGCACTCAGGAGACTGAGGCAGGAGGACTACCGCAAATTGGAGGCCAGCATGGGCTACATTGTGAGTTCAAGAACAGCCTCAACTACATAGTGAAACCCTATCTCAAAACAAGAAAAAAAATCAATCAATCAATCAGCAGCAAAAGAAACTTATAATACCAAAGAGAAAATATAAAACATACAATTCCTTAAAATGAAAAAAAAAATAACTGAAGACTAATTAGAAATTATTAAATAGCCAACGTCTTATTTCATATGTAATTAGAGTTTTAATAAGGCATTTTAGTTCATCGTATCTTAAGTGACTAATGGAGCCAGGAAGGTGCCTCTGATAGGGAGGTTCCACTTAGGTTTTAGCAGTGATTAAAAGCCGCACTGATCATAGAGCTTTGCAGAAACTTGAATCTACCAGAGGCAGGAACAGTGAAGGTGGCAGCACAGATAGGACTGCAGGCACTCACGTGCTGATTAAATATGCTTACTTGAATAATTATTCTGAATTCTTCTGAAATGCAATCTTTTCAGTAATTGATAAGTAGCTTCCACAATTTAGCTCATGCCACCTTAACTTTTATTACTCCAGACACATTATAAAATTTAAATACCTCACTGTATAAATAATGTAGACTGAACATATATTAACAATGCTAATGAAGCTAACATTTTCTAAAAGCTGTACTGACAAAGGGAATACATACATACACACACACACACACACACACACACACTTTCTGTTTGTTTTGAGATAGCATTTCACTATGCATTTTAGGCTGGCTTTGAACTTACTATGTATCCCAGGCTGGCTTCAAACTCATGGTGAGCCTCTCCTGCCTCAGCCTCCCCAATGCCAGGATTAAACAGATGATACATATATTTAAAAAAAAAAAAGCCAAGTGTGGTGTTGCACACTTATAATCACAGTACTCAAGAGGCTGAGGCAGGAAGATCATCACAAGTTTGAGGTTAGGCTGGATTATACATGGTGAGTTCAATGCCAGCCTAAACTATATAGTGAAACTGTCTCAAAACAAGTAAATAAATACAATATGTGCAAAATGTTTCACTATATTACATACATTTAACATCTTGAAAACAAAATTGCTTCTACAGCTATATATAATTGCTACTGGTCAATTATACTGTGTAAAATAGCTAGAAAGGTACTACAGTCCAATAAACTAAACAGTGAACTTCATTGTATATAAACTGTATCTCAATAAACCTAACTCTAAAACCAAAACCACTATACTCCTTAAAATAAATAGGCCTAGCATCCATCTTGGTATCTAGCTTTGAACAAATTAATGGCACATCCATAGTGTAAGATGGATTCCAGAGAATCTCTGATGTCTCATACAAAGTTTTACACATAAATTGTTTTGTGGTTGTTGTTTTGTTTGGCTTTTTTTCCCGACCAGTGCTTAGAACTGAACCGGGCCTTTGTATCACACTAGAATCCTCAACTCAGCTTTTTCTTAATTTGTTTTTAAAATGTTGACCCAGGGTCTCACTAAATCACTAAGTTGCCCAGGCTGGGCTCACACTTACAATCCTCCTACCTCAGCCTTCCAGATTGCTAGGATTACAAGTGTGCACTGCTATGCCTGGCTTATGCACAAGTTTTAGGGATCATTGCAACTGTCAACAGCATGAGGATTCCTAAACCTCAAAAAGGTTTACAACTTCACACTACTAAACAGTTTTCCTCCAATCTATTTGAAAGGAAATCAGGTGTTTTGTCTTTCGTGTTAAGTGAACCCTCAAATGGTACCACGCTCCTCCAATCCACCCAAGTCATCTAGAGGAAACACAAGTTACTCTGGGTAAATTCTGACACTTCAGCTCATTCTGCATTATGTAAAAAGACGGGCCCTAGTTCTTGTTACCAGTCACATACACCACCTATCTCTCTGCTTCTGTTTCCTCTCAGCTCCTAGAATACCTACCCACATTTTTCTCTCTTTTATCAGCCACAAATGTTTCTTTCATTGTTGTTTAAAGAGGGGCTCCCAGAACACACTACTAACACTTGCACAAATCTCTCAAAGTCCACACCTAAATGAAGACCACATACTCTATGATCTGGATGAAATACCTAGAACAAGGACCTCTACAGAAAGTGGGCTGTGGCTACGGAGGGCCAGTCTTCTTATGCTGTAATAGATGTATCTGTTCACGTACTACAAATCAATGAATCGTTACCTTTACACTGTGGATCGTATGGTATATAAATTTATCTCACTAGAGCTACTTAGAGCAATGTTATTTTTTACATTTTTAAAAATCAATTTGATTGATACACTTTTGATATACATAATGATCATATTCATCATAGGCTATTTGTACCTGTATATAGTTTAGGTTTAAAAAAAATGTATTGTTAATTGTGGAGATAAATATATCTTATTTCTTTTTAAGTGTGCAGATCAGTGATGCTATGCACATTCACACTGTACAGCAGATCTCATTTTTTCATCTTGCAAAACTACAATTCAGTGCCCACTCAGAAGCTCATTTCCCTTTACAACTGTTCCCTGATAATAGCTATTTTTTTATTTCTATTTGATTAGTTACTCCATATAAATGGAGTCACATATAGCATTTATCTTTTACTAACTAATTTACTTCATTTAGTTCAACCATGTTGCAGCACAGCTCAGGATTTCCTTACTTAGATTAACATTACAAACTAACAGCCCAACTTTTTTAGTGGTGCGGTACATCAAACCAGGGACTCCTGCACACTAGGCAAGTGCTCCACCATTGAGGTACACTTCACTCTTTCTAGATCCATTGTGGTATTATACATACACTCATGAAACCATCACTACCATCAAGACAATGGAGTTTCTTCATGCCTTTCTCCAATCTCAGTCTATTTATATATACACATGATCATTCCAATAGAGATAATTGAAAACTGTATGATTTCCTCTGCTGCCCCAAGCAGTGCTGCATTCCACAAAACTAGCTATGTTTCAGCTGATGCCGCTAGGAGGGCATGATGCAAATTCTGCAGATATCACTAGGGACACGAAATCTTCTGCTGGCTACTTTTCCCTTAAGCCACCTCTCAAGTCTCCTCATCTCTGAATTGCCTGAGACGAGAGACAGGGACTGACATGCTTGCCTCCAGCCCAGCTTTGTCCTGCTGGAAGTTACTACCCTTCACTGGCTTCACGCTGCCAGGGCTATGCTGTCCACACTTCAACATGGCTGTCAGCTCCTGACACCAGCCCTTCCGCCACACATTCCACGTGCTCCAGTGATGCCCTTGCGATGGGCACACTCTCTCCCTGCCTGCTTCTGGAAAGCAGTATCATTTTATAATATCTTATCTTATCTTTAGTCTCCCAATTAGACCAATGATTATTAACCTTAGTGATGTGTGTCACAAGTAATCTGCTCTTGATAGTCACATTGGCTCCCACGTGCAAGCTGGCAAGTAATTTCGGTTGTATACATAGGACCTTCCATGCCAA